TATTAGGTCCCTTCCGACCCTGAAACTATGAAACTATGAAACTATAAAGCCCTGGTGGCTTCTCCAGTGGAGGCTGTAACTTCTGCTTCATGCTGCCATTTCACCTTCCTTCCCCCAGGTTCGTATCTATACACGCAGCTGCACCCTGGGCCGAGTGCTGATTGGTCCCAATGCCCCAGAAGCGGGGCTGATCCACTGGAAGGAGATGTGTAGCCGAGGGCAAGTGGAATCAGCACGGTGGCATTTAATACAACCGGATGCTTCTAGACTTAGTCCTTGACATCCCCCAAAGCCATTCAGCTGTATTCTTAGTGGAGCTCCTCCATCTGCTGGAGCAGAAGGGCAGGTTTGTTAGATCTATGTGCTAGCGCAGGTGATCCCTGTTGGCTGTGCTGCCGGGTTAAAGAACTGTGGTCCCAGAGAACAAGTGACCACAGCTGAAGACTCATCTCTCTATCTTCAGGGACTAAGGGATATTATACTGGGCCTAAGTATAATAGGCTCCACTCTGGGCTACACTGGAATACTACAAACCAATAGCTTTGGCTGGAAACAGGAGCCAGGGACTCAAAGCAAAACTTTCTTTGTTAAATGTCTTTGGTGGGATAGATCTTGTGTCTGAACATAAAGGGAGAAAACCCCACCCTCAAGTCCTGGCTGTTCCCACAGGAAGGTGAGAAGGTAACAGCAAAGAAAGGAGGGCAAGAGTTAGAAATGAGGGAGGGATGTCTGAGGGAGGGAGAGGAAGGAGCGCATGCAGATAGCCAGGAATGGGCAGAGGCGTCCTTTCTCAGAAGGATTCTGGGCTTGGCATCCAAAGGTAACTTGTGATCAAAGTTAAAAGGCCACTTTGGGTGCACTGTGCCAGACCCAGCCTTGGTATAAGCCAGTGCAAATGCATAGCCTTCACTGGAGTTATGACCCCTGACTTCATGGATGATGCTTTAGTGAAGTCAGTGGGGTTTTGACCACTACCAGCTATATTTGGCCCATGCTGTAGTCACATGGATTCTGCTAGGAGTAGTATGGAAGACCATCATGCTACAGCCACAGTGACCTCCAGATCATTCCTTTCCACTCATTGGGATCAGTCAGATGACATGTGGATGAAATGTCAGCCTTTATTTCACAGACCTCAGCAGCAAGTACCAGGTTCACTATTGCCAACTGTCATGATTTTTGGCATTGTTCTTAAAGGCTATGCTTCAGGATTGTGAACCACTTAGCTCTTTTTTATATATATTTAACATATAGAGCAGTGGACTGTGGAGTCACTTTGAATGGAGAATCCCTCGTGTTTGGAAGAGAAGTGGCCGCTGGGTCTGGAAGGCCCTAAGAGACCCCAGCCCTGCCTTCATAACTAAGCTGCACTCCCACCTCCTTGCTTCATAATAGGTATTGAACTACTGTATGTCTCACTGACATTTCTTACTGTTCAGCCTCACCCTGTCCTTGGATGGTACTGTCTCTCCTAGTCCAGGCTGTTTAATGCTTCCCTTGGACCTACAGCTCTGGAATTCAGAGCTGGGCTGGGCTCAGATGGGCTAAGTGAGAAAAAGGGAACTTTGCATGGGGCAGAGAGGAGGCCTCTCAACTGAAAAGCAGTAGGCTCGGGGCCTGAGATTCCCATCTTGCTTTAAGCAGCAATACGTATTTAATGTAACTGAAGTAACAAATACACAAATTAAAAAACTGTATAGATGCACTGTGTTCTAGTCTGACCTTCCATGTGATATAAGAACAAGGATGAAACGATCAGCTGGGGACATTGTAATCGCAGCTTGTTGGGCTCTTACTGACAATTACAGTTGTATTTTTATGCCAGGTGCAGTTCAGCAAGTTGGCTGTAGCCAACCTCTCCTCCTACCTTTTCCTCGCACGTGTCCTGTGGTTAAAAAAAACCCTGACCCCAGAATGATCAGCTACTTATACAAACATGTTCAAATCAATTAAAAGTATATAACAATACCTAAGGTTATTGGCCTGGCAGGCAGTTTGAGAACACACAAGCTTTCCATAGGAGCTGGGTAGACTCCAAGATGGCTGATAGAAAGTGACATAATTTGAGAAGGCACGGGAAAGCTTAAAACCTTGCCTGTATAGTGCTGGGTCTGGACCTGAAGCACAGTCACTGCCTGCTGGTGTAAAACTACATTTCCCTTCCACATCTATCCCCCTTAAAAATAAATAAACACAAGAAATCTGGCCTCAAAGTGCATTGCTGCATACACACTGCCTTTTTTCATGGCCTCCAGCTGTACCAAAGACAAAACACAACTAAAAGGGTTTCCTAGAGTTTTAAATTTAAGCCCCAAATCTGATTAAGATAATGTGCAATTACCATATTTTCTCATATACCACACATCTTTTTCTTCCACAAAGTGTGCATTATATGGGAGAAATATGGTAGAGCATTTTCTGCTGCTTACCAGGTGAAATCAAGAGTAAAATTGGCAGAAATCCACAGGGAGCAGAACAATGAGTAGGCTCTGCTCCCTAGCTGCTGCCACTCCACTAATGGTTACCAAGAAGGATCTTTTTTTTTTTTTTCATTCTGCCTTTCAAAAAAAGAAAAAAAGTACATTTTCTATTCCAGGGCATGTTGTATGTAATAAAATACAGTAACATAAATGTGTGCAGTGTTTTGAAATAACCTGGACTAAACTGATGGCTGTGCTGGGTAGGAGCGTGGGTAATGATGGCATATATGTATGGGTATGGAGATGCAGCACTGCTCCCTCCTGGCTGGATCTGAAACTGCACATCCATGTGTCACCAGCTCTCTTTTCTTAGGACTCTCCTGAAAGTTGGGGGCAGAGGCCTGCAGCTCTGGGGCAGTAGGCAGGGGGGCAGAATTCTAGCCCTGCCCTCACTGGGAGGTTCAACAAGGTCCTGGTGCCCAGCTGTTCTTGTGCTATTGAGCCAGACCGTCCTAGTGGTCTCTTTAGAACAGCAGCATGCTGAAGAGGTACAAGGGGGTTCAGATACTTGCCCATTAGGGACCTGCCTTTTGTTTTATGTGGAAGGTGCTTTGGTAACAGAGTAATGGGTGGATGTCGAAACATCTCAGCTAGTGAAGGATGCTTATTTCTCTTGATTGGTGGGCACCACTGGCTGGGGAAGGAAGAGAACCCATTCCCCCAAACCTCTCCAGACAACAAAGATCTTGGATCTTACTGCATTGCAGAAAAATAGGCTGAACTCAAATCCTCAACCTGAGCGCTGGGGAAGAGTCAGACCTAGAACTCAGGGCCCTACCCTTGTAAGAGGTCTTCCACCCTGTTAGACTCTTCCACCTTAGACTCCCAGCCCTCTCCTCTCTCAAGGCCGTGTTTTTTGTGTGGGCTTGGAAGAAGAACAGTCCCAGAGACAGCAACACAAATTCCAGGCTTTTATGGAAAAGGAACAAATAGTGTTTCCATGCAAGAGGCAGAATATAAGAATATATATGGGGGTACAAAAATAGTGAGTGATAATTCTTTCCCATACAAGAAATGAGTCACAGGGGGACAGAGATCAGGACCCTGGGATTTCACTGCAGGCATAAGATGGTGTGGAGAACACATGACTGCTTTGCAGAAGGAAAACAGTGTGGTCCAGAGGGTTTTGAGCCTTTACAGAACTCAAATCCCCCTGTGACCACACTGAAAGGCCTTAGCTGTCTTCTCCTGGTGCACAAGCTTTGCTAATGAGGCATGTGCCTCTTCTGTGCTTTATATCCCTGCCCTTTGGAAGAGCTGTGCTTTCTCAGCATGGCTTGAGAGCACCATGGGATCTTTTTCCTCTGATGCAAATGAAGGGCACACCAGGATCTGTTGTGTGATGATCCTCTCAGATCCACCTTCAGCATAGGTCTGCTACACTGGAACTGTGGTGTCATGTAGACATACCAGAGCTAGATTAAAACTAGCTGGTGGAGGTTAACCAGCCAAGTACATACTCAACTTATTGGGCTTGTTTGCCAGATTACTCTGAGCTTCAACCTGTCAGGTAACATACTATGGTTGCTCAAGCTGGGCAGCTAGGCTGTCTATGTCCTCACCACACTGCAGTGTGGGTATACCCTCCCAGATGAAGAACTAGGGGCAGCAAGCTACAGGGAGACTCTACTACCTGTTCCTCAATTCTTCTGAGCAGTGCTGCTGGATTCCAACAGCCTGAAGTGAGTTACTTGATAAAACTGTATCTATGGCTTGCTCTCCCTGGAATACCCAGC